ATTTTTTAATTATGATTCTTTGTTAATAAAAAAAATTGCAGCAAACATTTTTTAACTGGATATATGAATAGAATTCATTATAACGTGAAAATTTTAATAAAATAAACGAGTATATGAATTCCAAATGGCAAATATTTAGCATTTAATAAACGTTAATAAAATATAAAATGAGCCATTTCTCTGTACAGATAATAATATATTGACATACAATTACCAAAATGTAAATTGAAAGTGGATCGATAAGCAGTAATTTTACATAGATATATGTTGGAATGGATAAAATAATGTAATCCGAATAACGATAATGTGCGGAAGAATATTTGACACAAATATATCTATGATATAAGTAATTAAATGTATTCGAATTACTTTTACTCGAAATATTTTTATTTATTTGTTTTTTATATACTGAAAGATTTTTTAAATAATGTTTTGCCAAATTTTAGTAATTATACATATATATTAAATCAGAACTTTTAATAATATTTTTTCTACTATCATATTTCTTGCACTATGATATTATTAGCAAATTTTTAATGGTTAAGGGATAAACTTTATCCGAGTATATTTCCTTTAAGTCTATTATAAATCATCTGATAAGAAAGTGTGAAAAGATTTACAGGATAGCGTAATAACATTTTAATATATTTACTAATCTCTGTGTCGCCATATAAATCATTAATCTTCCTATTCTTTTTATCGCTTCTTTTTCTCAACACCTGTTATCTCTTTAAAACATTGTGAACATGCGCATTGTTCACATGCAAAGAACGAAATGTTCTACATCTTAATGATCGGCAACTGAGAGTGATAGGAGGGAGTATTTGTTAATTGGGACACTTTTGCATATATTCTAATGAATCTGCGAAACTGCGGCTATCTTTTTCGATCGAGCCACGCAACTGGGATTACCTAACAACGAAATATGCGGTTTTATCGTATTACCGTAACGCAAACCGCAAATTGCGGGGTGGCGTCTCGTTAACAACACCCTTGACCGCTGTAATCGCCGTAAAACAGTTGGGTCTACGATGCTTTTATCATCGCTCGAACATTTCCGTAGGCTGTTACACGCGTTGGGCGCGATGGTTTGCGGGGTAGCGCGATGACCGCCAATCGGGCCATGCCGCCTGCACACGCGTTGCGCCAAAAACAAGCCCCTCGGTACCGTTGTATTTCGGTACAGCCGAATGAACGACCTGACAAACCGTGACAACGCGCCGCACGTTCCCGTTTACGTTTATCGTTTCGAAACATGGTACACGCGTGGCGGATTCTCCGGTGACGAACGGGAAGTAATGCACCGCGCTGTCGTGAGAGATATAAAAGCCTCGATTTCGAAAAATACGTTTGTCCCCCCCCCCCCCCCCCCCCCCCCCCCG